TTACTCCTAGCCAATACCAGAGCCTTGGGCAGCCCAATCTTAAATAAAACTATAAGAAAACCATATTCAGAACTGCAATAATAATAATTACTAAGGAATTTATTTATTATAGTTCTCATAAGACAATAAAGGATTGATAATTAAATTTTCCTACATTAATATGAGTAAGTCTCCAGATACCATTAACTTTCCTTTAGCCTTGCCTCCCATAAGGTATTTTTATCCAAAGTGGACTGCAGTTTCGTGCTCATTCACCACTCCCAACGAGAATTGAACTCTGATAGGGGATCAGAAATATATTTGCTTTACTCAGAATTTCGCAAAATCTCTTTTAGACTCAGAATTTCACCTGGAGACATTTGCTGTATTGTGCTAATTTGGTTTATTTTTTTTTAAACAAGGTCTTACTTGCACTTTTTTGAAGTAAGCCAATTCGGCGTCGCAATTTTAGATAGCCTGTTATATCTGTGCCCGTATAGACACGGTTTTGTTTACCATCTGGACATCACATGTCACAAATACCTTTTAGGCATTGCCTCGCCAGTCCGACTGCTTTGTATATGCCGACCAGCACAGTACAAATCACTTGGACTTTAGATAACTGTATTAAGATTCCTTATCCCTTTGTCTTATTATTGCACTTTTTTGCCCTGTAAGGCCTGTATGAAACACTTTTATGCATATTTCCCTAACTGGTACTCTCGATTCACAGATAATTCCCCTTTGGTAGATTAGAGTAAGTGTGAAAATGTACAAGCATTTGTTGGAGTTTTACTTCTTTTAACAATAGGTTCCGTGATCTATGCACTTTTTGTCTCCTTTCGCAGCTATATGGCCCAGTTTGTATCTCTCTGGATAAAGTTACCCCACTACTTCGTTAACCATAGTTTACCTTTTATCTGATCCATCTACTTGGGTTACCCACACTAGCATGCACAGAAACGCCATGAACACTCACGCACGCGCCTCACGTAGAGCTTAAGAGAAGGAACATATTTTCTTCCATTATCGTTATTGCATTTATGCAACGACTTCCTTTTCAATCCCAGGCTTTGTCTTGCTCCCTCTTTCTACTTTAAAAACCCACTTTCATGACATGCTTTAGTCACAATCTGGACTGCATTTTTTAATCAAATCCTTGTGGAGGACATCTGCTTCCTTACATGCCATCAGACTTGCTCACGTCTCAGCCTTTTTCACATCTTTTTTCTTTCAATCATTGTATTTATGGATTTATATAATTCAAACTGATATATTTCTTGGTCTATTACAAGTTAGAGCAGTTAACGATTGTGTTCACAATTCCATTGTTCAGTTTGCATTTCCAAATTCACTAAAGTATGAATTAATTGCCCTTTTTCAGTCTATTGTATGATATTACACTGCTTTTCTTGATTTCGTCTTAAGGTATTTCTAAGTCTGCACTAGCATTACTTAGAAAACCCCATTGGCACAATAAGAATGCTTTCCTACATTGTGTTTCCCAGTACATTTGACTTTCTTTTAATATGAAGCATAATGAACGATGTATTTCATATAGATAAAGTCCACTCAAAGTGCCAGGTATTCAGAAAAACTTTCTAAATAATTTGATGTTGGTATCCTTTTGATTTTGTTTGGAAACTCGATTTGAAGGGATTCGTAAAGTGGCCCTACCGGAAGTCGAAAGAGGATTACTGTGGAGCTCTGACCGTAAATTTGTGCGAATAAGTCCTTATCACATTGCCTCGCGACCCTGATGAATTTTGTCTATGTGGCCAAACAACTCAAAGCAGAGCACCAAAACAGGAAGGAACGAAATATGGCTTCTTCTCCCTTGTATGACGAAGACCTTTCTTGTATTAGTGTTTAGGCGAATTAACCTGAAGCATGGTGTCCTGTTCTAATATTGTCCATCACACGACTGATGAAAGTCCAGAAAGAATTAGTTGGTATCGCGTGGCGGTATGCAGAGGACTTATTCGAAAATATCTACAGTTACAGCTTAATGCAACCTCCGGTTTCCGGTGAATCCAATTTACTAATCTCTTCCACTCGCCTCTTCAAACGAAATGAAGGTATGCCAACATCAACCTATTTAGGAATTCTTCTAAACCCAGCCTTTACATCTTTCTGAATAAAATCTTCATTCTTGTTCACACAATACATCATATATATATATATTTGTTTACAAGAGCAAAGCAAATATGTGCTGTTATAAATGAACAACGAATAAGAGCTTTTCCTTGACTATTGCTGTCCTTCAGCCAACTGTATCTCATTTCAGCATTGTGCTATTTAAGCGGTAATTTTATGAGTCTTGGTTTGCCTACGCTTTTTTCGCACTAAGTTTTTATCCTTGCAAATCCTTTTGAGTTTGAAGTGCGAGCTTACTTTTTTTTTCTGAGTGTTCAGAAGAAGGCTAGACTTTTGAAAACTATTGCCAAATTGTTTTTATTTGCCTGTTTATTATTAGTATTATTTACCACTTTTTGTTTATTATTTCAAGGATGTCTGAAGTACTCCTAGGAGGGTAAAATTTATTTGACACAGGACGCGCATAAAATATTGGTCTATCTATTGAAAGAGTGTTAAGAAAAAATTATTATAGATGCTCATTTTAAAGTAACTCCTTCACGAAACGATAGGGAACAATTTAGATAATCTTTATCTTCAAATTTTCATTTCATGGTTTTAGGTGTTGGTTCCTAAATATCATTAATTCTCGTAGACGACGAAGAGATATCGTCATGTATGAGGCTTCTGCAGCCCTTAATACATTACCCCCGTCCTCAGTAAATACATGTTGAAAATTTATTCCTCTAGAGAATTTCATCTGGTTAATTCTTTCTACTTATAAATTTGAGTAATAGACCGCCCCTTGCTAACAAGGCTTATTACATTGTGTGAGCATAGAATAGGTTACCTAGCTTGTAACATTTCATAAGCAAATCTTTCAAGGAGTTCCATGGCGGCACTTGATCGAAGTGCATAATGCACCTTGATGGCGGTTTGGTGAAGTTACTTAGCTTTTGGTATTTTCTATCTAGTTTATCATTATTCCGGCCCAATCTTTCTCCCTCATTGGATTTATTCGTCTTTCCCCTTTAAATTTTTCGCAAGGTGCCTCCCTACTTATTCTTTTGGGCATACTTCTTTTAGTGGGTGCCTCTCCTTCCACTCCTTTTGTGATATAAAATCCTGCTCGCCTCTTTTATGTTTTATTTATGTACTATATATATAGATATATATAAGCATATACTATTTTTAAAGCTGAATTTGACACAGCTATCAGGATTCTTAAATTTTGAATGGTATATCATTTTATTGTACGTTAAAAAAGTTGATAATTATTCTAAGTACGATTAATTGAAGGGAAGATTTGGTTTTGCAATGAAATTGACTTCGCCATGCACTCCAAGAGGCTGACATTATACAGAGTCAATATCAGCATCAATTTCACTTTGCCCAGTAGGATTCAAACTGTGAATACATAAGTACTTAGATTCACAAGTTCCTCATTAAACCTCGTTATCGAAGCTTGTAGATTAATGTTCCTTTTTTTACCGAAATTTTATTTATTAAATATTTTGCTAAAGCTTTGTGCTATGATTTTTTCTAAGCGCAGATATGAAAACCAATTGGGTGTGACCCCTCATTTCACTGTGTGGAAGTTGTTTAATCCTGTTTTCGCAATTTGTTCATTTTATTAATGGGATTGATACCTTCCCAAATGTTTAGCTAGGATTCTTGGTCCGCCAGAATCGCTGATCTGACTTGCACCTTTTAGACCGCAAACTACTTCATCCCTTATCCGAATCTCCTTAATGTCCTCGAAGATTAATTTCTTATCTTTTCTGATAGATTGATTTCACCCGATTCCAACCATCGTATGCATTTTACTAAAGATGTTATTTCTCATGATCTACCACAATCATTTGATAGCACCTATGAGGTGGCTTTACCGATCAGGGCTCCGAGGCCCTGATTCTCAAAATTGCTGATAGCAGCCTATCACTGTGCTTCTCCGTATCTCAGTCCGGCACCTGTTTTGGTTTGATATTATGGTCAGGCATTGTCTTCAAAGGCTATCTCTATGCTTCAACCGGTATACTTTAAACAAACTAGGAACCTACACCTTTGGTCTCGGCTACATCTCGAATGGATCTGTTGTCGAACTGGCTTCGATCTACTATTAATAACTACCAATTCCTATGACGCTTAGGACTATCCGTCATCCTATCCCTCCAAAGGTTGTAGTTGTTTATTTGAGTTAATAATCTTATCCTAGACGTCTCTTTCCGTTTTCCAAATATTCTTCACTTGCTTATTCATTTCGTTCCATTTTTCTCTTGTTTATTACGTATACTTGATTCAGGCCTTCAGTAAAAACGTGTATGGTGGCTGAAATCAGGCAATCACTGGGATAACAAATAGATCAGCAAGAGCACAAGGGATATTAGAAAAGGAGTAGTCTGTGAATTGAAAACTCTAAGTCGGGTCAATAATTCTGACAGATCGTGAAGGTTGGGGCAAAGTGAACTAGCGGATTTTGTGCAAACGCCTCAATATACCCTTTCAAGAGGAGTAAGGTACGATAACGTGGGCTGGGTACATGTACCAGAACTCAGCAGAAAATTGGTTAAGACATGGGCTTGACTTACCACTTTATCGAGTTGTACCTTGGTGCTAAGACTGGCAAGACCTAATGATGATACCGGCGAAACTGTTGAGAATATACCAAGTCTAAAGTTCGATGCTTTATATTATCACGACTATTGTGGCCGAGAACTCCGTACAAAGTTCGCTTATCTAGCTAACCCTGAAAACACGACAAAATTGTGGTAGCAAGGCCAAACTACGTTTAATTTTATATTTCTAATTTTATATTATTTTGTCACCTACCTTGGTTTATCCTCTTATCATACATTCATTTCACCTTATTATTCTTCCACCGACTTACGTGTCCCTGTCAAGATGACTTGGCTAAGAAGTCCTTGGTACAATCTCCGAGTCGCCCAATGTCAGCCAATAATACAGGCCGAATTCCTTTCCGCTCTAGCTCTGTCGAGGTATCATTGCGCCGATCTAGAATTCCTCAGTGTGATTTTCTACGCGCACACGAGAAAACCGGACCTGGAGAGTCAACATTGTTTGAGTTGAGCGGAAAACCAATTGAGCCTATCCGACGAGAGCCACGGGCCTCCAAGTTAACTGTTCCGAAGGCTGCTTCGGCAAGAGAGGTTGGTGCGCAATGATTTTTTTTATAGAAACACTTAATATGAAGGATCAAGAAAATAAGTTTTACTAATTCCATTTGTATTGATGAAATGCT